ACCACTTCCAATTAGCATCCTCGACAACTTTCAACACCCCCATGGATCCGCGGGAACCGTCGAAACAGACGCGAAACATCAAAACTTCCCGCGAAAATAAATCCGCCGAAAACCGTATCCCGAAAACGGGAAATTCGCGGTTTACAACGATTTGCATTATCGCAAGCACGCGTGATTGCGAAAGCTTGAAGAGGTCGCCGAACGTTTATCCGTCTTTGACAATAATTATTTGAGAAATGGTAAATCGAAGATACGCTCGCTAACAAAATCGAGCAGTGAAAGTTCGCAGAATTACGATTCGCAGTTTGCGAAGATTTTCATTAATTTCTCAGGCACGAACGATACAACCGCCATGGAAACCACGAGTGCCACAGAATGTTGCTTGCTCGAGACTCGTCCGTAAGACCGTTAAATCGCCAGGGACACCGGCGGGAAACTCGCATAAACACGTTAATCGTGTTCGCGAACGGGATCAGCGTGTTTCCCGGGCTTTTATTGACTCATCGATTTTTTCCAAGTCATTTCCGGCGATTCTATTATCCGGCGAGAAGGAGGCCGAGCCTCGGGGTGTTGTTTCCAATCAACGAATCCGGCTAATAAAGCCGGCCCGATGATTTAGGGTCGAAATAATAAGAATTTTCGTTAGGGCGCCGATGGAATTAAGGCTCGAGGAGAGCTCGCCGGGGCTGCGAAATCTCGAAGGGCCGCCCTTTTTTATTGCTCCTCCGAACCACCGCCTCCGGACAGCCATGAAAAACGGTTTCTTATCGTTCGTGGGACATTGCACTTCTCCTTCGCTTCGAGTGAGGTTAGATAAATTACGGACACCCGATAGAAACTCGGAGAAACTTGGGACCCGGAGCGCCGGTGGGGTCCGACAGCTGCGAACTGGAAAAAATCGCTGAAGGACCGCCCGAAATCGACGATGCCGCACACCAACCTCCACGCCGGACTCGGCCCTATCGTTTCGCGTCGCTCGCGACGCTGCACGACCCTCGGGGAATTCGTATTCCGTCGACGAAATTGTTTTAACGTTGCTGCGAGATTCGACGCTAGAACCATCGAAACGCGACTAATTCATATAACAATGCCAAGACTGAATTTATCTCGACACCGGCTAGACCATCGTCGAGCCAGAAACGTCTGTTAACATTTCCAAAATCGAGGCGGCCAGGATTTGTTGTCAAAAAGATATATAAAGCGAATACCGAGAGACCAACTTTCGTCGGAAAGATCTTATCGCCGGACGATCGCGAATATAACGCGACTATCATTCGAACGAAAGCCAACGGGCGATTGCGAACGATGCCGGCCGGCGACCTCGACACCGTGGTTCAAGGTCGTCGAGATTAACGGGACGAATCCGTCCGTGGATAATTTCGAATGTGCCCGCGCGCGCGTCGAAGTCGCGCGTCTAAGCGAAAATTTGCTCTTCCATATTGATTTTCCTTAATGCACAGCGCGCGGAATTCCGCCATGGGATTATGGGCGCGGAAACAAGAACGGGCCACGGATTACAACGGATTACACACCGTACAGTTCACTTTCAGCAACCGGGAATCAAGGCGCGGAGGAAAAACGTCGCAGGAAATCTATTATTCGGCAGTTCGATTTCGAGAGGGACGCTGAGAAATCAGATTACGCGAATTTATGGGGTCTAACCCTCCCGTCCGCGGTGAACGCGCGCGCGCGCACACACACGCGGAGACAGACCACCGTCAGGACCCTCCACGAACACCTCGAGCCTCTTTTGTTGCCATCGTTTCGATTCGTTCGAACGCGATTAACCAGATTCTACCTACGTTCCACGGCGAAACCAACGAATTTCATAGAGAAACGATAGGGACACGCGGGTGTACGAAGTTGATAGGTCATGGGGGTGTACGGGGATGCGGCGAAATATACGGGCGGATGGCTCCGTGGACAGCGGAGGGCAGGAATCGTCCGTCAGAGTCGATTGATAGACTCGACGAGCATGAAATATTTAAACCGCTTAGCGGAGGCCGTTTTTCGAGCGGCTTAAAACATGGCCGCCGCCGCCGAAATAATTACCAAGTTGCCGGAAAGTTTTCCCGATAGGCCCGGAGTATCGTTCCCGTCAGACGGATTGCTATAGCCCCGTGTCGGGAGGGTTCTTTCGAGGAGCAAAGCGGGGTCCAAGTGCTCTTTACACGCATATTGCCCCTTCCTCGGGCAGGCGGACCGTTTGTTCGGCGCCGCGTCGAGGATTTCGATCGTCGAAAAGGGAGGGCCACGCATTTCACGGTGCATTTAGCCGGAGATCGATCCGCGGGCCTCCGGATCACCGGCAAGACAACAAACGGAGGGAAAAATGTGAGAAAAAGCTCCGGGAGATACGGAATTTTTCAACGAAACACCGTTAGACCGCGAACCTCGTGGTGGTTCTGCGGGAGTGGCTACGGCGATCTCGCTGGGGCCGCGGTACGGTGTGCTAGAGATTGTTTAAGGAGGGGTTTAAGTCATCGTTTCGATGGATTTCAATTTGTTCATGAGATATAAAACTTCGAACTTCTCCAGTTTCCAGCACCTTTAAAAAATCATACGCCGACTTGTGAATTTTTATCTCGAGAACTATCGATCGAATCGATCTGCAACATTTCTTGTTCGCGCCGGGAAAGTTCATTTTATTGTAACACATTTTTGTTTCGTTGAAAAATTCATTTTGCAACGCTGAAAATTGTGAACAAATTCGTACGAATTTCCAGTCCCGTATTTCTGCAAGATCGAGGTTTTCGTTGAAAATTGGACATTGTGCGAGCGGCGATCGTTTCGCCAGATTCGGGCTTGTCTAGAAAACACGGGCTGTTTACGGAGCTTCGGTAGATAAACGAAAAGAACATGAAGGGACGCGTCCCGCGGCCGACAATTTCGCTCGATAATTAATAATGAACGACAAGCGCAGGGACCGGGGACCCGATCAGAAACTATTAGCCGCCCCAAAAACGGCGCACGACCCTCTGGCAACGAAAGAAATTGGCATTGTACGGTGCCTCGAATAGGCGTATTCCGCTCTAAATTGGATCGTTCTCCGTCTTGTCCTTCGCTTTTATTTCCTGGCATTGTTCTTTCCTCCAATCTCCCCGGGTCCGTTTCGAGAAACCGAGCAGCGGCGGGCTCGCTGAACAGATAACGATTCGGGAGCTTAATTCGATTACTTTTCAATCCGTTTTACTCGCAGCCACTCGCTACCTACGAAACAGGTCCATTTTCTATCCGCTATTTCAATAGATCGTCCGATCAACAACGAAACGGTACAATGATACCGGTTCGTCTGGCCAGAAATGTCGGCCAGAGCATCGCGCGAGCGGTTTCCGAACAATAGTTGCTTCCGCTGGTAGAACATGTTGCAAGACGTTTTCATTTGCTAAGTAAAATTCGACAGAAATTTCAAGCGAGCAGCTCTCGAATTTATCGAATATTTCGTTGCGCAGACTTTGCTGCTGTGTTCGAAATGTTCAAATGTCAAAGGTAGATTAATTTGTTAAGCATAGATTGTCGAAAATTCAATTTTCTTTAAGCGACGATGCGCCGAAGATTGAGATCTTACTTTCAGAAAGTTTGCATTGGAAATTGCCTTTGTAGTTGTAAGGGAGGGACGGCGAAGGGATTCCAATTTCGATAAATTATGGTTTCAGTTATTTCTTTTAGGCCATTCGCAAGAAATGTTCCAAGCTTAGAGCGAACAGATTGGAATTGATGGGGTGTAATTTGTCTTATGGGGATTTTCCTACGATTGCTTTCACGCGAAACCTGTTACACGATTCCTTACAGCCCCGTAACGTCGTTATCGACCCGAATTAATTGTTGAACAAATTTTTAAAGCAATCGTCGAAGAAGACTCTAAATATTTGTTCGTTTTTCTATGTCCGTAAAATAACATAAATTCGAGTAGATCGATTAATAAAAAGATCGACCAATAAAAATTAATCAAAATTAATTTTTCCACATTATCTTTGCCTCGAATTGATTTATTAATATTTTTGTTTAATGTTGAAAGTACAGGCATCGGATATCTATCTTTAGTTACAATTTCCGACCGTAGATGGCAAATTATGTTTCCACCTTCGCGCAAGTGTTCACAACACCTCTTCTTTTGTATATAAGCCAGAGCTTGGAGCACTCCCGATATAGGGCGTGAAGAAAACTCCTAGGTGAAAATATCGTGATGATTATTAATTGTAATAATGGACGTAATTCTGATCCTATTTTTTGTTCACCGCCTTCCTCTAAAATGATTCGAACTGATTTACACGATATCGTTTATCGTGAAACGTGTTCTTCACACTTTTTGTCGACCGTTGTTGGAACAGATTGGGAAACCTGTTTTATCTACGCTCGCTAAATTACCATCTTGGATCCTTTCTTTATCGGCCCACAATTTTACTTTATCCATTTATCTTCTATTTATTTAATCCCGTTTCATAATACTTTTTATACCGTTTTTTTCGAAACACTTCGTCAGTCGTTCAATTAACATGTTTAAGTAATAAATATATATTACACGTAATCAATTTTATCAATTAAAATTCTATATAAATTTCCTTTAAACGAGCGATACGAATATTAATGTAACATTCGTCATTGCATAATTAATTAATATATGCCAAATTAATCAATGCCGATACAGACTTGTATCGCGATTTTAATGGGAAGCAACACGATATAATCAACATTAATAATGTATCCACTGGTATTTACTAGTGTATAATACCCCATCGTAATTAATTTGAATGATAAGACTTATATTGTATCACTCGTAATTCCACGATTAAATCTTACAATTATTAAAAATAGAACGGTCAAATTTAATCCAGCAAACGCAAAGAGACTGTACATACGTCCTCGCTTCAAATTTCATTTGCAAGTCTCTCGGACACTGGATCCGAGAACCGACCCGTCGTCTTATCAGAGTGGTATCGAATTCATGCAAGAATATGCAGCACATTGGGATTCTCCGAGTGATCGGGACAGGTACCGAAGGGCGTCAGGGACGAGAGAGGCAACCAAAGAGGAAAACAAGGAAGGCAATGCTTAGGATCCATTCGCTGGAAAAGATCCAGATAGTCTCCGAAATCGATAGGTCGCGAATACATTTGCCCCAAGATCGTTCCACAGGAATTTTGTCTCGCGATTTTCATCGCGATCTACCAAATTGTTCGTTCTCCAAATAATTCTCTGTGTGCGATGTATGCACGATATCAGACGTGCAATGTGTTCAAGCGTAAGAGGGACGCGTACAGGAGATTTTATTGTGGTTGTCTCGTGGGGAACAGGCCTGGAGAAAACGAGGGCCCCCCGAGGCCCTTCAGCGACGTGCCTGGACCAAAGTCTTCGCCCATTATCGGGACGTTGTACAAATATTTGCCTGGCATCGGTGAGTCGAACTTAATAACGTGAACTATTTGCTTACTGAACGAAATTGATGCGCGATCAGGGGAATACAGTTTCACCGAGCTGTACGAAAGCGGACTGAAAAAATTAAAACGATTTGGACCGCTCGTCCGGGAAGAAATTGTGCCAAATGTGAACGTTCTGTGGATTTATAGACCAGAGGACATCGCTGAGATTTTTAAAGCTGAATCTGGATTGCATCCAGAAAGAAGAAGTCATTTGGCACTTCTGAAGTATAGGAAAGACAGGCCTGATTTGTACAGCACTGGGGGCCTCTTGCCCACGTAAGATCATCCCTTGTTGCTTTCGAAATATTAGAATTCTAATTGAAATTGTTGAATTTCGAATAAAATTACAATATAAATATCTTCGTCGGTAAATTTTGTATAGAAATATTATCATTAATTATTGGTGAACTTCTAATGAAAATATTACTTTTTTTAAATGACAGGAATGGACCAGAATGGTGGAGACTCCGAAAAGAATTCCAAAAAGTTTCCAGCAAACCGCAAAATATAATAAATTATATAGAAGAAACGGACAACGTTGTAAAAGAATTCGTCGAACTGTGCGCCACGAAGAAATTCGAAGATCTTCAACCGATTTTATCACGTTTATACCTCGAATGTAATTATCAATTGTCTTCGTTATTACGCGTTAAAAGTGACACGTGAATTTTATTTTTCGTTTCAGTAACGTGCTTAGTCGTCTTCGATATAAAACTAAACAGTTTCTCCGAAGAAGAAAAACATGAAGATTCTAGAAGCTCGAAACTAATAGACGCTGCTTTCGCAACTAATAGCGCGATTTTGAAATTGGACAATGGTCTCCAATTATGGCAATTTTTTGAAACGCCCCTGTATAGAAAATTACGCAAAGCACAGACGTATATGCAATCGTAAGAACGATTTTCTTTTTGGTTGAAGAATATTATTTAAAAGAGAATGGAATTAACTTTTAAATTAAATATAAATTTTACCTGTTTCATGAAATATTTGTTTATTGATAAAGAGTACATATTCATTTATTTATTAGCGTTGCATTAGATTTAGTATCCCAAGCAAGGAGAAACAAATCTCATCAAAACAAATCATTCCTAAACGCCTATTTCGAAAACTCTGCCTTGGATATCAAGGACATTATAGGCATGTCTTGTGACATGCTCCTAGCTGGTATTGACACTGTAAATATATTTTTTTTTATTTTAGAGATCGATGCACAACAAATCGAAATAATTAATTAACGGGCAAAAATCAGCTAAGATATATTTAAAAATATTTTCAGACCACTTACAGCACAGCTTTCACCTTTTACCACCTAGCAAAAAATCAAGTTGCACAAGAAAAACTAAGAACAGAAGCTGAGCAATTGTTACCTGATCCTAATCAACCAATTACAGCAGATATTTTACGAAACGCTTCTTACACAAAGGCTGTTATAAAAGAAAGTTTGAGATTGAATCCTATTTCTGTTGGAGTTGGTCGTATATTGCAGACTGATGTTGTTCTCAGTGGTTATCAAGTGCCTAAAGGAGTGAGTTTCCAACAATATATACAGAATGTCCTAAATATCTTGCCTATTATTTGTAAAAATAGTTCTAAAATATATAAAACACAAAAATGATTTATTCACACATAAATAGTAAAAGTACATACAATAAAAATGTAGCAAATTCTCTCACTCACATTTTGCAGACAGTGGTGGTGACACAGAATCAGATAATCTGCAGGCTCCCAGAGTACTTTGACAGTCCACACTTATTCATCCCAGAAAGATGGCTTCGCGACGGTTCAGACAGCAAAATTGGCAGTGGAAAATCAGTACACCCATACATTGTGCTGCCATTTGGCCACGGACCCCGTTCATGCATCGCCAGGCGATTTGCTGAACAAAATATGCAAGTGTTACTATTAAGAGTAAGTGTTTTCTCTTATTTTCAAGTACAAAGCAATCATCATTATAAATCAACACTACAAATTCTACTTTAGATATGCCGGCAGCTCAAGTTCTCTTGGCAAGGTGGCCAGCTCGGCATAATATCGCTACTAATCAACAAGCCAAACGCACCAATCAAACTAAACTTTCACACCACTTAAAATGCTAAAGAGAATAGACTACTGAGAAAAGAACACGTTCCATTTTATTGTATAGCTATGATTAACAATTAAATTAAATCGATAATACAATATTCTTATGCAATTAATATGTTTAATTGTAAGTCATGTATTTGGGAGTGGCAGAGAACTTAGCATAGGACTTAATGACTTTGTTCACTGCCTCGAGGAAGTCTTTCTCGGTGGCCACTTTGCGACGAGCTCGAATGGCAAACATGCCAGCCTCTGTGCACACTGAACGAATTTCTGCACCGGTGCTGTTAGGGCACAAACGTGCCAGCAGCTCGAATCTAATGTCCCTTTCGACGCTCATAGAGCGTGCATGGATCTTAAAGATGTGAGTTCGGCCTTCAAGATCTGGAAGACCAAACTCTACTTTCCTGTCAAGACGGCCAGGTCTCATCAGTGCCGGGTCCAGTGTGTCTGGTCTGTTTGTTGCCATCAGCACTTTGATATTTCCCCTCGGATCAAATCTACAACATGTAACGTTTTGCAAATCCGAATTTTATGGAAACTGAGGGTGATAGAGCAATTCTGCTTCCGAATCAGTCTTTTGGACGACAAATTCTACGAGAGTGTTATTAACATTGTGACTTACCCATCCAGTTGATTAATCAACTCCAACATTGTACGTTGCACTTCATTGTCTCCACCAGCTCCATCGTCGAACCGAGCTCCTCCAATGGCGTCAATTTCATCAAAAAATATTAGACATGCCTTCTTACTGCGGGCCATTTCAAACAATTCTCTCACCATGCGAGCTCCCTATTAATATTAAAAATTGTCATAGTAGTGAATTTATTTATAATTGAACTATAGCTCGTTTAATGTACCTCGCCGACGTATTTTTGAACCAACTCGGAGCCGATCACACGAATGAAACAGGCATCAGTTCTATTGGCTACTGCTCTGGCGCACAGTGTTTTCCCTGTACCTGGTGGCCCGAATAGTAAAACGCCTTTCGGCGGCTCGATTCCCAAATTAACGAACTTTTCTGGCTGCAATAAAAATACATTGGAAAAACGTAAAATTCCAAAACGATAATCATTGTAAAAGAATTTAATTATAAAATACTAACGTGTAGAAGAGGAGTTTCCACAACTTCTCGTAACTTTTCGATCTGCTCTTTACAGCCACCAACATCGCTGTAGGTAACATCAGGCTTTTCTTCTACCTGCATCATCGTTACACTAGGATCGATTTTAGGGGGCAACGGAATGTGAATTTGGTACTTGTTGCGATCAACGCCGACTCTCATGCCCTCTTCAATATCGGTCGGGGCAACCGACTCTGCTAGGTCGACCACAAACTTTGCGAATTGCTTCACATTTATGATATACTTTGGATCAAGAGAGTCTGCATTGATTATTTTGGTGCAGCGAGCAACTTGTAGTGGTTGCTCATTCTGCAGTGTTTGCTTGTCTGCTGCAAGATCCCACAAAGCTGGTGGTGCCAGACCAGTGTCGGACTCTTTAATTCCTGTTAGCTCATTCACACGTTTGATTATTGTTTGGATATCTTCCTCGACTGCTTTGATGCTTTTCATGTATTGTCCTTGGCCCTGTCGAGGAATTAGTAAACGTTATTTCCATTTTTTCTGGTGATAATTATTGATAAAATAGACTGACAGTTAGCAAAAATTGACGGTTATTCTTTTATCTTTTCTTAGGGCTACGGTTTACTTTACTCACATAAATTTTTAACAGAGCAATATCGCCTTCGTCCAGAGCTGAAATCACGAAAAATTTTAGGTAAATCGTTGAAATCGCTTTGACGTAGAACAATGTTCGTAGACAATGCAACTTACATTTTATTTCTTCTTCTCCTTTCTCCGGTTCACTACGTATCTTTCTCATGTCCTCTCCCAAATGGTCCGGCATTTTTCTGACTGATTAATTTACTTAAACACTCGAGGAAATAATTAACTTCACTTCGCGGACACAGTACACGGTGCAAACTGATTTTCAGGTTAGATCGTCTTTACATTACCAGCAAAATCACATCCATCCTCAGTGGCCTCTGCATGCAAACTGTCAACTAATGATTTTTCAAATTTTGGACTGTGTGGATAACATAGGTTACTACTTATTTCAATATTATGATTTTTAATTTAATTTTAAATGATCGAGTAATATTTTCTTAAAAATAATTCTTTCTTAGAAGTGAAAAGTGAGATTATTTGCACAATGGTATATTAATAATTGATACAAAAAGATTTATAAGCTAACATCCATTGATTTTATAGATTTTTAAATTACATTCTAATGCAGCAAAAATTTGTTAGTTATTACGTTAATTACAGCAATAATTCAATATTAATAACGTTCGCTGAATCAATAAAAATTTAGTCATTTTATTTTGTTACTTTTTCGATCAATATAATTAAAGAGAAGATTCAAGCAAAATCAAAATTACAATGAATCGAATGAGACAATGTTTCGACAAATCTATAATCTGCTATTAACGAAGTTAGTAATTTAGATAATAAATGACAGGAATTTGTTTCACGCGTTTTATCTACCGTGTAATGTTAAGAAAAATATAAATTAATTCTGAAGATGTAAAGTATAGTGTATGGTATGACAGAATTGCAAACTAGTGTGAGCAAATGATCGACCATTAAGCCTAACTACGCAAATTACTATATGCTCGCCACACCCCTTGCCATTTCACTCCAACGTGCATCTTTCCTTCGGGATTACTAGGTCAATCACTATAATTCCCCTTTAAACGTTTCCTTCTAGCTGTTCGAATACAATGTTAATACAAACTGAAAGAAAATGTTTCATCAGCTTTTCTCATAATTTTTTGTAAATTAATAAAAACCGATGCTTTCCAGCAACAAATTTTTAACAACAAAATGGCCCGAACTAAACTGACAAAACGTTTTGCTATATATCTTTGAAACTATACGACCGATTTTTTTCAAACTTCGCACAGATATTCTACGCAGTGTCCTCTTTAATCCCTGCTAATTTTTTTCGCTACCAAATCTGCATCTTAGTTTTTTTTATTCGCTTTTTTACTCACGTTTTTACAATTAGTTCGAAAAAGATGGTTCGTCAGGCTCTCTTTGTGAATTTTTCCCGACAAAAGGGCTCGACATAAATCGATGGAACTTTTTGGTACAATTGAACGATAGTTCGAGGGATACGTGTGCAAAGTTTCGGCTGGGCAGGTTCTATTTTTTCACGAGGCAGCAACAATTTCGTCAGAGATTCGCCGGGCAATAAAAATGGCCGCGTCATGCTTCTCCGCCACGGTTAGGCGCCTTTCAAAGGAAATGTACGAATCGCCTAAATTGTACTTCCCATGTCAGTTGGTCCTTGACCGAGATGAACCTCGGAAAAAATGCAAGATAATGAAAGATCCAATAGAACAGAACACTTTCACTCGTGTTCATCCCGAGCGGCCGATCCTCCTGCAATCGGAGGCGTGGTGCAACCTGAAGATCAACATATTTCCACGTGATATTGAGTTATACTATATTTGTCAGCCTATCATCCTTGCTAAGGCAGCTCGCACACGTGGGAACATCCTGCACGTGTTCTTGCACTTTGAATGCCACAGAGATTCGCTGGCGATTTTTCGACGCCTTCGAAATACATACCTGTGTCCTCCTGATAAAATCGATCTTTTCGACCTTATAAGCTTCGTGCACGTGACCTTCACGGTATCATCCAACTTCGCGGCAAAAATGTTTCGTCGATCTATTTCGCGCCCGTCTGCTGCCGCAAAATTCGGAACGGATTAAAAATTGCATTTTTTCGGGAGAATCGCAGAAACGTGAGAAAAATCGAACGAACAAATTCGATAAATAAAATAGTCGAAGAAATTAGCAGAGATTAAAGAAGACGCTGTGTAGAAGATCCGTGTAGAATTTTGGAAAAAGAATCGGTCACGTGGTTGCGAAAATGTCGTAGCGACTATGCCAAACTCACGCTTCCGACAGAAATGTGACAGAAAATTATTGATCATTTAATTGCTGGTTTCTTAAATTATATTATCTACTGTTGCGAAATCATCGTCTGCTGCTATGAAATTATTATCGATTGTTTACCGTGCTTGTCTACATATCGAGGATCATGTTAGTCGCGTTTACATTGCCAATATGTAAACAGCTAAGTAAATTGCTGATCGAGCGATGCAGATGTCCGACGGACGGTAATTGATAAATAATTGGTCGGGATGGAAATTGATGAATTCTTTTTTATTTCCTGGTATACATATGTACAAACATCGCGTCCAGTTACAAGATAATAACGATTTAATTCAAGCCTCGTTCGGGAATGATTCGATCATCGAATTTTCGATCAGTATCTCCGGAATGGGGAGTTGTAGGGCTGTCTGTAGTCAGAGTCGTCGGGTCCCGGCGGATTGGCGGCCAGGGCTCGTCTAATGGCTTCCGGAATCGGGGGTGGAGTGGGCAAATGCGCGCCTTGGGGGTGGAAACCATTTTCGTCGGCTGTGTACTCGACCGTGATTGGTGTTCCGTCTGGCGCGGAATATGAAAATCGACCCTGGACCACCTGCGAACAGATCATCAAATTTTTGCAATGACGGGAAATATTCCTTTCATTTCGCAGTCGATTGTTGCTCTGTATCTCGTTTAAAATTCTTAATTCCTGAAAATATTCTCTCCATTTTATAATGAATTATATATTATGGTTTCCTTCGTTCTAAATTTTTATAGAATTCCTAAAAGAAATCTTCTTATTTCATAATTAATTGTTATTGTATTATATTCTTCTCTCTATATATATTTCTTATTTATTATATTTTTATTATATTTGTATCTATTATATTTTTTCTTGGCACACAAATCATTTCCAAGTTTTCACGAATTTTTTGAAAAAATATTCTATTCATTTTATAATTCAAAACGATTTCTAGTTCATTCAGTTCAGATCCAAGGATCTTTGTCTACGAAGTGAGTTAAAAGAAATTTTTGACATGGTCAGTGAATAGGGTATTTTTGTGCAATTACTATCGAATAGAATTTTCTGCTCTTTCAGCATTCGTTCGCGATATATAACTATGCAAAACGGAGAAACGAACGGGTGAAATAAATTTCGTTCGATCAATTTATTACCTCGCTTTGGCCTTGCGGTGTACCCTGAGGACGTCCGCTTTCGGACACCGAAATGCCATTCTCTGTATCATAGCTAAAGGTGTAAGATCCATCCGGATAGCTATCTTTCTGCTGGCTGCGAATCGCTATAAACCTGCCGGGTGAGCTGCAATCGAATTACATCCACGTTACATAATTTGCATCCATTCAATACGAAAGAGAAAAATTCGTATCGATTTAACCGGATTTTCATGATCAACTTTCAAAACAATTCACCCGATTTCTAAGATTGAACTTTTAAATTTAGTCTTTTGAAATTGTTAATATGCAAGAGTGAATTTTCATATTTGATTGAAAAAATCGGGAACGTTGCAATCTGATTCGTAAGACTGAATTTTTCTATTTAATTGAAAAAAATTGGAAATATCGCGATCTGATTTGTAAGACTGAATTTTCCTATTTAATTGAACAAATTGGAAACACTGCAATCTGGTTAATAAGACTGAATTTTCCTATTTAATTGAACAAATTGAAAACGTTGCAATCTGATTAATAAGACTGAATTTTCTTATTTAATTGAAAAATTGAAAATATCCCAATCTAATTTGTAAGACTGAATTTTCATATTCAATTGAAAAAATTTCAAATATTACAATCTGATTTGTAAGAGTAAATTTTGCAATTTAACGTTTAAAATTGAGTAAACTACAGCGGAATCTCCAAAGATAAATTATTCGACATCGTCTTTGAAAATTCGAAGATACTCTTTTTTAAGTGCATACTTATATTGCGGCGTGTACTGAGGTTGCACCGGTTGATACGCAGGTCTCGGCGTCGTTCTGAACGCATTTTGAGTGGGAAAACCGCGGTAAGTGCCGAACTGGCCTACAGCGCAGCATACCAAAGCGAACAGAAAAAACTGAAATCATAGAACAATCGTTACAAACAATCTTCTCCCCCCCCCCCCCATCTCGACGATCTCTATAAACAATTTCGTACACTAAAACGACAAATCGCGAACGAAATAAACGCGTCTAACGATCCGATTATTTATGGCTAAACAAATTTCGCGGCGGGTCACTCCTGACCCAGCCGTATTTGCTGCGATCGAGATACAAATTTTGTTCTGTTTTTTCTTTCTTTTTTTCTCGTTGCTGTCTTTCGAGCATAGTGATGTTAATTCGATTCTGGTTCACTGAACGTCCCGTGTCATCACTCGAGAGCAAACACTCACTAAACGTTGCATGTTGTGTGTCCGTTGCAGTGGCGCGACGTCGTTTCGAACAAGAATTCAAAGCTGCGGTACCGGACGCAGAGCCGCCGCCAGCATTTATATGAGGACGAGCCCGAAGATCTTCCCTTTCCCTGATCCTGCGTTTGACACCACTCTCCTCATAATTCCTCTAGTCGCCCTCACGTTGGTTGAGCCCCACCTCAACCCCGGCCGCGACAAATGGAAGCCCGCAGCCGCAGTCATATCTTTTTTCACCGTCGGCCACCGAAAAGTTGTGCAACCGAAAATTTCTGGTTCAAATTGAGATCAACGGTTCCTGCGATCGGTGAGTTTCGGCGCCATTTTTAATGCGTTCGGCATTTCCAATTTTGTTCTCACCGAGCGACAGAATGCGCTTCGCCGCATCGGATCTCCCAAAAAATTGCATTCAACTGTAGATTTGCAAGAAGCATTGATTCTTCGAGCGACGTAAAAGAATTTCAAGAATTTCTTTTGTTACATTAAACTGCATTTATCGTCATAATTAGGCAATTATGCGATTAGGTGAACCCGAAAGAATTGCAATAAAATACGGATGACATTAAAATTCCAAAAGATTGGCTCTCCAAGCGAACTGAAATTAGCAAAATATTTCTTCGATGACTTCGAGGTCCAGTTTTAATGACGATAATTTTAAATAAACGTTATAAACGGTATAAACATTTCTTTTGATCGTTTCTTGGGCCTCTGACGAGCCGATCTCCGCAGCGATTTAAATTTCGCTCGACGTTAGAAACGGATCGCAGATGAAAGAAGAAAGAATTTCGACAGGTTGCGAGAGGTGTTTATTGTTGCCTCGGCGGTTTTGATTGATGAGATTAGGGTTCAGTTTCAATCGCCCATCATTAGAGTAAAGTCTTCATAGCCGTGAGTGGCACCTCGCATTTCACCGCCTTCTATTGTTTCTCCTATCAATACTGATATCGTAAATACGCCTTCTGCGCCTCGGCTGTTGCCTCGTCTGTTTCCCATTGCATGCGTCGCCCTCGAAATCGACAGCTACGATAAGTATAATAAGGCTGGGCACCAAATCTTTTTCGACAGGTGTCGCTCGCCCGAGCTTCGAATTTTATTTTCCGCCCTTGGGACGGGGCCTGAAATTTTGAACAAATTACGAGACGTAGAGCGAACGCGCGCCAATCGAATGCTATTATTCATAAATTTTTATATTTTTAACTCTCTGATTAAAAAGAAATGATAACGCTCAAAAATTTTGACGAATATTATTTAAGGGTTGCAGATATAGATCATTTTTTTTCTCCCCTTAATCGATAGCCTAAAATTTCGAAAAAATTTCCGAAGATCAAGCTAACGTACGCTAATTAATTGCTGTTAATAATAAATTTTTATATTTTCGATTCTGGTTACAAAAAAATTGCAACATCAGCTCCGTATTTTTGACGGACATCGTCGAAGGGATTCGGACTTTTCAGATTTTCCTCTGCCCTTTGCGAGTTGCCCAAAATTTCGAGAAAATTCTGCGAGACGATTTCGACATGCGCGCGACGATTACGGCGGGGTGCGTGCGAATCTATCTTGCGGTAATCGAGAAACAGGATCCTGAAAGTTAGGGGTTCTCGCGGCGACCAAGACGATTGTAGACCTCGCCGTCCGACAACCAGGTTGCGAGCGTTACCTGGATCTAGTTTGACCTTTCTCGTTTTATTAACCACGTCAGCCTAGGTATGCCCCATCATCGCAGCATCGCCTCGGCTCACATAAAGAAACGAATAGATCGCATACCTTCGGGATCCTCCCAACTAGTCGCGTACCTAGATATTATGTAAACTGATCCGCTGCTCGCGGTTTTGAATCCGGCTCAGCATATCTTCCGAATTATTTCATCGTCTGAACAATCAATTTGTCGCCTATAATAGACGGGATCATTTCACGCACGTGTCTCATTCGCGCTGCTTCCACGTTCGAGCCGCAAAACCATCGCAAAGCCACGAGTTTCGATCTTTTCTTTCCCCACCTTTTAAAAATTATTTTCAAACGTTTAACCGTCGAGGATCTTGCAAAAATATATATCGTCGAATGCAGGAGAGTTCGCTGAATCGATCTACGCAAAAATCGTGCATCCGGCGTCTGTGGTTGCGTCGCAAAAAAATTCGGAAAATATACCATTTCGAGATTTCTCGTCGATTTTTGTGTTCGAACGTCGACGATGTTTCGAGAAGCGTGGATTGCCGTTTTCGGGGGGCAGTCCGCGGCACGGTTCCAGAGGGAGAAATCGTTTACACAATATCCACAAGGAAATCCCGAAACGACGGGACGGCGATATTTTATTTTATTTTATTTTATTCGAACGATTATCGTTCGTCTTCGCGAGACCATTAATCAAAGCGCCGCGGTGTCACGCGGCTGGAAAGACAGCGTTTTTCCGAACGGTAAGCTGCAGGTACAATATAATTACGAGCATAAAGTTCAATGTGGCGGCGGGGATGAACAGTTGTGTTACGCAGCGTGTATGTGTGTACTCTGTTTCAAGCGGGAAACAGGGCATGGCGAACTCGCCGATCCTGTCTAACCTGTTAGTCCTGATATATTATCAAGATGTGTCTAAATCATAGTAACAGCACTCACACAGCCGTGCCGACAAACGATCGTGCCATAAGTCACGCTACCCGAACAAACAGCTCGCCGCTTCTATCGCCGCCGCATCGACTGAAATTCGAAATTCTCGACGCGTCTTCGAAACTACCCTTAACCACGTTCGGGTGCAGCGTTCGCTTTAAAAATTAATCAAACATGGTCCGCTGCTCGGAACGGTGTCGTGAAATACGTCGACGTGTTCGCGAGACTTCAGAGAATTTTTCTACGCGACGATTACTCTCGCAGCTTTCACAATTGCGACGCTACAAACGGCCAAAGTCGACGTATCGATTTCTCCTGAATTCTTCGTTCGTAATTGCGCGTCGTAACCGCGTAACTTGCTTGTAATATGATGTAGAAAAATGTACCGTTGCATTCGGTGGAGTCTGCGGAATCGTGCTACGCGACAAAGGATCCTCGAAGTGTCCACGAGGCGAGGCGCGACAACAAATTCTCTGGAATCCCGTTTTCTTTCTTAGCGAGACGCGAAAAAATAAATTCTCGACGCTGGAATCCCGTTTTCTTTCTTAGCGAGACGCGAAAAAATAAATTCGCGAAGTTGAAAGATACTATTTTTCGATGGAAAAACATAACGAAGGCCGCGCGATGGCGAGACGATTTCCAAAAAATATGAATTGCAAAGCAAGCTGCAGGATGCGTAGGCTGCGTTTAAAATCCTTTTACCTGTTATCCTGAGGCCGGCGGATCGGTCGGCCGTTGCGCAATAGACAAGAAACCGATGATTTGCTTTCACTGACTCACCTTTACCGTGATATTACGATTACCATTAGCATTAATCCGATCGATACTTCGGTTACTTTTCCTAAAATCTCGCTTTTGCTTTGATCGGTTTATCGTCGCGTCGCCGTCACGATCCTGTCCGACTTCGACAAGCATCCATTGTAACCGTTTCGTCGATTTATTGCCGGCTGTCGAACCGCAGAACTCGAGAAAAGAACGCTTCAATTACGAGCATTATTAATCAACCTGCGCGATATCCACGACTGTATCGTCGAATTATTCCTTTCGTTGAATCGCGTCAACGATCCGAGCCGTTCGATGCTAAATTATTGACATAAGCTGACGCCGAGCTAATCTCCAAAGGATTTTATTCAGTTTTAAATATACAATTTTATCGCTTTTCAGTGGGCCGATATAATTGTATGCAACATTAAGATTTGTATATTGATTTCTAAGTAAACGATTTAATGTAATAGTAATATATTATGTTATAATAATATTGTATATAATATATTACTATTATATTATTATTATACTATAATATAATAGTATATATTATATATACTATTATATAATATATTAATAATATATTATACTATTATATTATAGTATAATATAATAGTATATATATATATTATAATATAGTATAATATATTATTATATTATAGAGTATTATACTATATTATATTATAGTGTAGTATAATATATTATTATTATACTATAATATAATATAGTAGTATATATAGTATATATAAAATATTATATATTATATTATCTAATATATAATGTATTATATTTTACATTATATACAATATATTATACTATATAATAATAATGTAATAAATTTGCAAATAAATTGTGTACAAACACAATCGTTGAAATAATTGAAAAACAGAATATTTTCTGAAGCCGCGTGTCAGTTAATAAATCGATGAACAAATGTAATTACGTTTCGTTAAAGATCGAAATGAATGAATCACGGAACTGATTGTTCTCGTGGACGCTTCGGTGAACAGATGAATAACTCGGAAACGGTTATGACATTTTCATGAATCTGTATTTGTAATAGTTCGTAGGCACATATGTGTGTATGCATGTACACTTGCAGCACAGTTTCTCCGTACATTCGCTGGGATTAGAGCAGAGAGAAGTACAGTCGACGAATTAATCGCGTTACAATCGTGAAAGCAGGAATGTTAATCTACAAGACGCGATCTTATCGATTAATAAATTAATTACTATATATTCAGGCAGTACAACGTAGAGAAGCATAAGCGAACAGTTTCCCGACAATATGTTAGCGCGATTCGGGCGTGACGTTGCCCGAGCACAGCGTTCCATGGCCGTTTAAACAATCAACGACGCGACAATCATTATTCGACATTTCGTCCATTCGACCCCGCGATATTCTCGGTATTCCTGTCTTTTTTTTCTCGCGGTGCACGCGCGAGAAAATCGTCAAGAAAAATCGCCGGAATGTCCGCGGACGAATTCTCCGTCGGCCGCCATTTCGAAAAGCTCCCATCGAGTCGATATTCTCCCGAAGAAAACGAAATAAGAAACATTTCTCAACGTTTACTTGCGATGCCAGATTTACGGAGCTGTTTCGCATCGGTTTTTCATCAATCAATCGAATCAACTGTCTTACAACAATTTACAAAAGTAACAATATTACGTTTATCCTGATTTTCGAACGAACGTTACCGTAACATTCGCCGGAAGCAACGCGCGGATTTAACGAATAACTCGCAGACGCGTCTTTAAAATCCGAACGATGCGATCTAAATGAAACAAAATCAGCGAATTCTCGCTGGTTCCGTAAACCCAACGCTAATAACTCTCGATCACCGAGCAAACGATTCATTTGCAACGATCACCGGCCATGGAACACCGCACAGATCCCCCGCAATCCCCCACAAAATCGCCCGGGCAGTTACCAAAAGGCCGCCCCTTCGAGAAACGAGCGTCGCGCGCGGTGCTTCCGGTCCGAAAGCCGAATCTCTCTTAATCGAATCGTAGCCTAATCGATCTTAAACGATCGCTTGAACATGCCGGAGCATGATTTCTGAGTCCGTGAGAAGATCCGGGACAGAAGGTTCGAAAGCGGTTCACTTCGCGAGTCTGGTTCCGTCGAGGAGGATCCTGGAGGACGTTCGCCGCGTCCCTAGTATCTCCTGTACGGCTCTTCCTCTTCCGGATGGGCCGCGTTGTGGGCCAGGGCCCGTTGTATCGCAACCGGGATCGGCGGCGGAGTCGGCAGATGCGCGCCGTTCGCTTGGAAGCCATTTTCGTCCGCCGTGTAAGTCACCAGAATCGGCGTGCCGTCCGGCGCGGTGTAACTGAACTGCCCTCTCACCGACTCCACCTGGTTCGGACCGGCGAACTTCGGGGTCCCTTGCTCGGCCACCGATATACCGTTCTCCGTGTCGTAGCTGGAACATCCGCGAACTCGTTAATCACCGAAACATAACCTAAAAGACATCGTCGAGCGTCCGGGGAATCTGGGGGAACGAAATTGGTCGATCTTCGAGGCGCTGTAACTTTGTAAGCGAAAATCGGAGGACGATGTACCTGGGCTCGTTTGAAAGGCCGAACGATCTGCTTTCGGACCCGGTGAATGAGCTTTCCGGAAAAAATTTCGGGCGACCGGAGTTTTCGACAATTTCGAGGAGTGTCCGAAACATGGCACGAGAGGGACCGTCTCTGTTCTCCAGTTGAATTCGCAGCGAGGAAGCGATTGAAAGAGAAAGAACAGTACGCTCGGTGAAAGTGGAGATTTCACGCTTGAAAATGAGCACAAGCAGATCATCCCCCGATTTCTCGTCGCGAAGTTAAGGACGGTTAAAGATCGCCGACGTTTCACCCGCGGTAATTACGATCGCGAACGGACGCAATCGCGTCGCGACGCGACCGCGATCGCTGAAAAGTGAAACCCGTTAGGGTGCTCGAAACTAGAGACCTCGCCGTTCAAAACGAGCCTAAGTGCGTCGCGATGCGAGCGTTCCACGCGGAGTTGCAACAGCTTCGTGGATCGAACGGTTCCCGAAACACGCGAATCCTCGCGGCGGCTTCATCGGTGTCAAGTTTGACAGAGGAATGAACCGGCAGTGGTAGCGTAAGGCTCGACGACGGTGTGCGGAAGGTGTAGCCGGTGACTGGCGCAACAGGAGAGGCACCCTCAACACGTACACGCGGCTAGGTAGGTCGATCGTAATTATTCTATTGTGTAATGTGTTATTGCTAACTGCGCAACCGCCTAACACGAATGATTAACATCAAAGCTAATTACATATCTTTTCACAGCTGAATATCCTGTGCGACCTCCTCCACCTCCACCTCCATCGTTTCGTCTTCCCTCTCTCTCCCTCTCTCTCTCTCTCTCTCTCTCTTCTTACCCCTTCCGCCCCCGCCGACGACCCAAGTTTCCTTGGACGCGCGCACCTTCGGCGTTTTCTTTGTTAGCCGGCGAATTAATTGGCAACGCGCGCCGATGGGTCGCGATCGAGAAACGATCGACTCCGTTTTCCGAGTTCGGTCAATTCTCCCTAATTGACCCTCGGATTGTACACGAAAAGGGATAATTTGGGAATACATGTACATTATACTTTTTCGAGAAAATTGTTCATATTCGAATAGCTGTAACTTTGTTCGAAAAAATCATACGACGATGGAACTAGGCTCGTTTTAAAGCCTGAAGTGTCTACTTTCGGATGATATTGGTCAGTTTCTTCGAAAAAAATTGATTTATGATATGACCGATGGGAAACCTCGTTCTAGATTTACCCAATATTTCGAATACTCGAAATATTGATGATATTCGAACAGTTATAACTTTGTGCAAAAAAATCGTATAGCAATGGAACTTAGCTCATTTTAAAGCCCAAAGTTTCTACTTTCGGGGACCGTCCATAGATTTCTTTAAAAAAATTTATTCGCGACACGGTGGATGGGAAACCTCGTTCTAGATTTTACCAAAAATCTCGAATTCTCGAAAAATTGATGATATTCGAACAGCTATAACTTTGTGCAAAAAAATCGTATAGCAATGAAACTAAGCTCATTTTAAAGCTCGATGCGTCTACTTTCGGGGACTGTCCATAGATTTCTTTAAAAAAATTTATTCGCGACACGGTGGATGAGAATCCTCGTCCCAGACTTTACACGAAATTTCCAACCTTCGAAACATCGACGATGTTCGAAATACCGTAACTTCGTGAATAAAAATCGTAGAGCAACGAGACTAAATTCATTTTAAAGCCTGAAATCTCTGCTTTCTCCATGTATAATTTATTCTTGTCGAAAAAATTTGTCGAAGCCACAGCGCGCGGGAAGCTGCAAAACAAGTGATTTATGGAATCTTGGAATTAGAAACGGCGTACAATAGATTCTCCCTAATTGACGCTCAGATTAACCATGTTTGTTTAAAAGCTGAAGGAAAATTAGGGAGAATTTACTGTGTTCGCGAATGGCAAGAGGCGAATTTCGATGCTCTTGTTCGATGGAAAAAAAAGGAAGAAATATCGTCGCCAGAACGGGATAACCGCGGTGCGGGCGTCCATACAATGCAAGACGTTAATTGCATGTTTGCTGAGAGATTTGAATCGTACAAGGGTTATTAAAATGATCGAGCAATTATTTTTGCTCGGTATCAATTGCTGTAATTATCGGGGAATTTATCCAGTAATTATCGTTCTAATACATGTAATGAACGGCGAGCAACGAGAAGAATCCGTAGTGCAGCATTCGTTTCGTTAATTATCGTACTAACGGATCAAAGATATGAATCGATATTCGATTGTTACGATCTATTCGATCGTAATTGAGTCAGATTAAGTTGATAAGTTACAACAGTATTGCAGCAATAATTATACCGGTCCTCTAGGAATAATGAATTATTCTCGAGGAATAATTTGTTTATATTATTGTATAACCTGTCGAATAATTATTCAGACATGTTGTCAAATTAATTCGACAATAATCTGTCGAAGAAATCGAACGATCTGCATTTCGACAAGGATTTATTAGATTGAAAATTATTCTAACATAGCAAAGAGAATTATTTCAACAAAATATTGATTCAATGGAAATTATTCTAACATACCAAAAAAAAAATCGTTTAATAATGATCTATTCAGTAGCAGTAATTTTAACACACCGAAACAAGATGTGCTGATAGAAATCACTCGAGTGCGAGTGAAGCGTTTAACGAGCAATAATTCCATCGAGTGACAATAAGGCATGTAACGCGCAGCGTCATTCGCTGCTAATACGACACGCATTCAGGTTGATACTATGTTGTAAAACGGACAATAAATTGTAGGATATCATGGAGCATGATTTGCGAAGACTCATCCTCGAAGGATTGCATGTCAGCGAGCTGTATATGTATATAAACGCGGCATTTTAACGCTGTCTGTCTCTCGTATGGCTACTTCTGCTTCCGTAGACAGACCTCTCACTCCACTCAATCACTACCGTTCGAACCTAATTAACTCCCATCGAACGTGAATCAACCAATAACGTCGTAAAATTGTCCGAAAAAATATTTACAAAAATATCGAAGATATTCGAGTCTTGCTGTCTCTGAATTGTTACAGCTTCCCGCGCGCTGTGGCTTCGAAAAATTTTTTCGACGAAAATCGATTATACACGGAGAAAGTAGAGACTTCAGGCTTTAAAATGAGATTAGTTCCGTTGTTCTACGATTTTTATTCACGAAGTTACGGTACTTTGAATATCGTCGATGTTTAGAAGGTTGAAAATTTCGTGTAAAGTCTGGGACGAGGTATTCCATTCATCATGTCACGAGTAAATTTTTTTAAAGAAATCAACAAACGGCTTCCGAAAGTAGACACTTCAGGCTTTAAAATAAGCTAAGTTCCATTGCTATACGATTTTTTTGCTCAAAGTTATAGCTGTTCGAATATCATCAATTTTTCGAGAATTCGAGATTTTGGGTAAAATCTAGAACGAGGTTTCCCATCCACCGTGTCGCGAATAAATTTTTTTAAAGAAATCAATGGACAATTTCTGAAAGTAGACACTTCGATCTTTAAAGTGAGCTAAGTTCCATTGCTGTACGATTTTTTTGCACAAAGTTATAGCTGTTCGAATATCATCAATTTTTCGAGAATTCGAGATTTTGGGCAAAATCTAGAACGAGGTTTCCCATCCACCGTGTCGCGAATAAATTTTTTTAAAGAAATCAATGGACGACTTCTGAAAGTAGACACTTCGATCTTTAAAATGAGCTACGTTCCATTGCTGTACGATTTTTTTGCACAAAGTTATAGCTGTTCGAATATCATCAATTTTTCGAGAATTCGAGATTTTGGGCAAAATCTAGAACGAGGTTTCCCATCCGTCGTATCATAAATCAATTTTTGTAGAAGAAACTGACCAATATCATCCGAAAGTAGACACTTCAGGCTTTAAAACGAGCCTAGTTCCATTGCTATACGATTTTTTCGCACGAAGTTATAGCTGTCCTCGTACGGCTCGGATAATCGTATCTTCTGTTCCCAAATTGTCCATTTTCGCGCACAATCCGAGCGTCAATTAGGGAGTATTCACTGTACCGTGCTCCTAATCTATATTGTTGGATAACAATTTGCTTAATGTCAAATGGCTTTGTTTAAACATCGTACGTTCGTTCGCCGTTAAAAATTCTGTCACAGAAATATTCCCACAATACGCGAAGAACTAAAAAACAACGACGATGAAAATGAAAAATCGGTGTCCGGTCGTTTCCTAGTGGTTTCGCAGTTCCGGTGTTAATTTTGCTCGGGTTATTAGAAAATGCCGGGAATTAATAACGTAATGGATGGACGATAAGCAACGCGCACGCATACCGACGCGTTTTTCGTGCCGAGAAGCGGCGAGCGTCGTCGAGCGTGTCGAGATCGCGTTTGTGGAAACGTACCTCGACGTCGCTTATTGTTTCGTCGACGGTCAGGACGCCGTAGAAGGACGATCTCACCTGTAGGAGTACGATCCATCCGGAGAAGAGTCTTGGGATTGTCGCAATATGGCGAAACGTCGTCCGTAATAATCAGGATTGTACAGGTATCTGTTGAATTGCGCGGACGCCGCCGCCGATAGTGCCAACAGAACCAGCTGAAAAAGATAGTAATTTGATAAAAATCGACTCCTCCATTCGACAGCCGAAATCTGAATCTCAAGAATTCAATTCGATTGTCGCAATTGTTACTTCGTTTCGTTTGTTGCAACTTTGATCGTTTCTTTTTAGGCCGTTGCTAAGCTTCGATAGAAGATGATTGCTAAGATTCCCCCTAATTGACGCTCAGATTGTACGGTTAAATTCTCTCCAATTGTCGCTCGATATGTACAGTGATTTCTCCCTAATTCGCGCTCAGATCGCGCACAAAAATGGACGATTTGGGAAGAGAAGACGCGATTGTTCGAGCCTTGCGGCTCGTTTTTACAGTCGCCGATTGTCAACAACTGTAATAAAAATGTGCTGCGAAGCTCAAATAATATAATAATAATAATAATAATATCTCGTCTTCCCAAATAGTCCATTTTCATGCGCAATCAGAGCGTCAATTGGGGAGAATTTAACGTGAGATTCGATGCAAGACGTTAAGACGAGTTCAGACGTCGCAGACAGAGTTTCAACAATTTCTTTTGCAACTTATACCGCGCCACGGTCGAAGAACGAAGTATTAAGTTTAAACTGAGTACAAAATAATCGATGTGCGATTTTTTTTGCTCGTGTTATGGCAGTTCGAATGAAAACTGCACTGAGTGGCAGCTAGCAAAACTGAGAAATTCTTCTCGGTATTCCAACCGACTCTGCGAAGCTCGACAATTTTTATCCTGCACCCAAACTACCGTGGTTTTAAAGAATGAAGTCTCCGCTATCCATCGAGACCGAAAATATTATCGTACGATTTTTTTATACGATCTTGTTGCATCTTTAGCGAGAAGTGCACCGTCGCGTAGCTAGGCAAGGACGATCCAATTTCCGCCGGAGTTCGAACGTCTCGGAAAGCCTCAAAAAATTTTTCTCAGAGATCAGACTACGATGGGATTCAAGATCGAAGCTTTCCCTATACGAGGAGCACTAAAAATTCAACGCGCGATTTTTTCTCGCCGATCTACAGCGCAACGAAAAGTGTGCCCACAGAAACGAGCAACCCACGCGTTCTAACGTTCCCATCGATTTTCCAAAGCGGGGAAATTTTTAACAAGAAAATCGATTTACCAGAAAATAAAGTGCGATCTTCAAGCTTCAATCTGAGCCCAAGAAGATTGTCCTGTCATTTTTCCCGACAAAGTTATCGGCGGTTCGACGATCAACATGGAATCGCGGGGAAAAAAATTGCCAAGTATCGAGGACGAATTTGTTTGTCGCGAATGTTTAAATGTGTAAAAAGTGCACGCGACACGAGAGAAGCGATTGACACTTACGATGATCTTCATGATGCCGTCGCACAGTGAGAATAATTCCAGATCGCTGATAAACACCGGCGCAGTGTTCGACGTGGAAATCGAGGAAAGATCGGATGCGGTCCACTGAATTTTTGCGGAGGAAAAAGAAATTCGGACGAAAAGAAACGAACGCGTGAGCCTGTGCTATCCGGTCGTGTGCAAATGTACGTGATCAAACGAGCCAGGATGAGACTATATAGTCGGCAGTGTACCCTGCTTCTCTGCCTCCATCGTGCCCCGCCACTGTTTTGCACGGGTCGAAGGGGAGCATGTGCCTCGTGGATTCGCGTAATTCATGAACGGGGTAACGATTACATCTACGATCGTCCGAGGAATCCGCGAGTAATTGCCGGCTTGTGCATCGCCGTGCACATATCCACGAGCAGGATGATTCTCCGCGTCGGACGATAACGGAAACACGCGTGTTCCTCGGAATTTCTTCGCATTTCTTCTTGTTCCGACGAACTCGACCAATCGACGCACGCCCAAACAATCGGCTACAAAGTATACAAGGTGTACAAGGTATCTAGAAGACGATCGACGCGAAAAACGAAATTTTTAATCTGCAATTAACACCGATCGTAGACGTAATTACGAGATTATTCGACGTTTCGGTGCCAACAGCGCGCGGTTCTTGGCAGACTTTTCGCTCGCCTGCAGCGTATCGACGGAGGGAAAAACTTGGAAAAATTCTGAGACGTTTCCGCCGCTTCGGCGTACATTGTAGAATTTTTCGCGGATTTTTCGTTCGCCGGAAACGGCCGCAGAAAATATAGAAAGAACGCTGTGCGATCTCGTTCGATCGCGGCGGCGGCACAGTTTTCATTCCGAGCGCGATAAAACGGGAAGAAAAAATGATACGTCAAAATTTTTGACGTCGTTCGATAGAGCGGACTCTGTTCTTCAAATTAACGGTGATTCGAGTCGTTCAACAAATTTTCGAAGTCCGGTAGAGATTTTTGAATTTGCAAGATCGCTTAAAAAGACGTGTTCACGTTGCCGCTCAATTTCCGAGGTGAAAAATCCTTCGAAAAAAAAGAACGACTCGGCTATTCGAAAGCGCAAACTTCGCCCTTCAAAACGAGCCTAAGTGGACGATCGTCCGATTTTTTTCGATAGAGTTACAACGGTCCAAAGTCGTCCGTCGGACTCCGCTAGACGCGAGCGATCTTTCGCCGAACGCGCATCGTTTCCGTGGCGTGTGAAAAAATCTCAATTAAATTTTAATTAATCCAGGGGTCGAGACGACGGCATTTGCTGCGAGGGTGCGTGCTTCGAAGCTGGAAATTCCTCGGAACGGTGGTTGGAAGCTTCGAGCGAAGCCACACCTTCGCCGGCGTCGCGCGCCAGGCCCGACACGGAGCTGCATCGTTACACGTGTATTAATGAGTCGTTGCATGTGCAGGCCGTGCACCGTACAACAACCGATGCACTCTGCAGTCGTTAGGTCATGCGCTTCGCGGTGTCTCGTAAGATGCGGGCCACGGCGACCTCGCCACAGGATTCAGATCGCCGGATTTGCCACGGATCATCACAGGGCGTATTCCTTTCACTGTTTGCCGGTTACGAGCAGGATGCACGGCGCAACGATTCAGTAAGCCGAATCGGCGATCCTTGCGACATCCTTTGCGCCGATCCTCGGCGCAACATTGTCCTCCTATCCGTCGATTTTTAATTCCTCGATCGCCGCTACGAAAGTTCAGCGATTTCGCTCCAGAAACGCTCTGTTTTCAAAACGTTGCGGCATCGTGGGAAAAAATCGAACGACCGTCCATACAGGGTGATTTCAAAGAGCGAACTCTGCTCTACAACGTCGTCGAGCTCCGCTGTCTTTGGGTTCATTTTTTGTAGCAGAGATCGGACTAGAAAGTGAACCGTGATTCTCCATTTCGAAAAATTCTTCGTCGCTACAATGTTGAGGAACTTCGCGATATCGCAGCTTCCGAATAAAGAGTCGGACGACGATCTGCCTTAGCTCGTTTGAAAGATCGAAGTCTCCTCTTTGAACGGGCCTGAGCAATTTTTATTAAAAAATATTTGTTTACGGTCGGAATTCTATCAGACGTCAACTATGATTTCAGCTTCGTCGAACATTTGTGGAATCTGAGATATACGAAGTTCAACGTGCCGCAACTTCGCGAAGAAAAGTCGAGCGACGATTTATGCAAGCTCGTTTTAAAGGGCAGAGTCTGCGCTACAATGCAGCCTAGTTCCGAAGTCCTTGAGTCAATTTTTGTAGCAGAAATCGAACTAGAAAGCGAAGACGATTCCCCGCCTCGATAATAATACATCGGTGTTACAATGTTGAGAAACTTTGCGCTGCTGTAGCTTCGTTAAAAAATATTGCCTGCTAATCTACCGTGGCTCGTTCGAAAGGATAAAGTCTCCTCTTTCAAAGCCCCTCAGCAATTTTTATTAAAAAACATTTTTTTACGCTAGGAATTCTATCAGGCATCGACCACGATTTTCCCACCGTCGAAAAAACGGAGCCGCAGCTTCGCAAAACTCACCGCGCTGTATCTTTTTGCCGAAACATCGAACGACGATCAACCTTGGCCGATTCGAAAGCGAGAATCGTCAGAAACAAAACGATCCAAGCTGCGTCGTTCTCCGATTTTTTGCGCCGGAGCTACGACGAGATAAATATCATCGTTGTTAGAAGATGAAGTCTTCGAAGCTCTCGAAGTCGTGAATAACCATCCTTATTTAATTACTATGGACAGCGCTATAGTAAATATAGGTCTCAGCCGTTTAAGACGGGTCCGGTTTGATGATCCTCCGCCACGGTTTATCCGCGAGGAGTAGGATATCGCTTGAACACCGCGAATTTCTCGGCCTGGATTTCGTGATCTTTTCGCTCGGAACGTGGAGATCTTTTTCAATTCGTTAAACCATCAAACGATTGTTACAGTGAACTTATGCGCAGCTGCACGGCGAAATCGGTGATTTAAATAAACGGCTGGCTGGATTTCATTTGCGAACGGGATACACATACACATGCCGGTTTCGCAATAATCGAGGCGTCGCGCGGACAAGAATGAAAAATGCTCGATCCCATAGAATTATAATCCGCGTGCCAGTTATGACAGCCGCGTTACTTAAGAACAGCACGGTGTATCCGCCCTCGGATTTTCCATTCGTCTCTTCTGCCTATTATGAGGAACTATTACGGATCATCTTTCATATCTCTCTCACCTGAAACCATTATGCACACGCTTGAACGGTATGCGCGCATACCATCGGCGCCGTGCAGTTTTATGCATAGTTTCTCGTGACACGGTCGCGGTGCTGCCATTTGCGTAGGAACAACCGTTTACGTGTTCGTCTCTATCAATTAGTTTCGATAATTTAACCCCGCGCTTCGCACGCTCGCGAGATTCTCCACGCGTGGTAAAAACCGTCGCGGATTTTTGCCCGAACGACTCGCGACCACGCTGTCGCGACGAAATTCGCACGAGCCGGATCGGTTTACTCCTCGAAGAATTGCGGTAAATTCTCCGTAATTGACGCTTGGATCGTGCACGAAAAGGGACAATTTGGGAATACATGTACATTATACTTTCTCGAGAAAATTGTTCATATTCGAATAGCTGTAACTTTGTTCGAAAAAATCATACGACGATGGAACCAGGCTCGTTTTAAAGCTCGAAGTGTCCACTTTCGGATGATATTAGTCAGTTTCTTCGAAAAAAATTGATTTATGATATGACGGATGGGAAACCTCGTTCTAGATTTTACCCAAAATCTCGGATACTCGAAAAATTGATGATATTCGAACAGCTATAACTTTGTGCAAAAAAATCGTATAGCAATGAAACTAGGCTCATTTTTAAGCCCAAAGTTTCTACTTTATGAAGCTGTCCATCGATTTCTTTAAAAAAATTTACTCGCGACACGGTGGATGGGAATCCTCGTTCTAGATTTTACCCAAAATCTCGAATACTCGAAAAATTGATGATATTCGAGCAGCTATAACTTTGTGCAAAAAAATCGTATAGCAATGGAACTTAGCTCATTTTAAAGCCTGAAGTGCCTACTTTCGGAACCTGTCCGTCGATTTCTTTAAAAAAATTTATTCGCAACACGGTGGATGTTGCGGAAATTTCTAATCTTAAATATCGACAATATTCGAAATACTGTAACTTCGTGAATAAAAATCGTAGATCAACGAGACTAAACTCATTTTAAAGCCTGAAGCCTCTATTTTCTCCATGTATAATTGATTTTCGTCGAAAAAATTTTTCGAAGCCACAGCACGCTGGAAGCTGCAACAATATATATCGGACAAAGTAGAAACGAGTCATTTATGAAATCTTGGAATTAAAAATGGCATACAGTAAATCCTCCTTAATTGTCACTATAATTTCATTTTGCAGTGTACAGTAAACTCTCTCCAATTGTCCGTCGGCTTCTAAACAGAAATGGACAATTCAGGGAGAGACGACACGATTAATCGAGCAACGCGACTCGTTTTCATAGTTGTCGACGATCGGCAAGGGTTACTTCAAAGCGCTGTAACTTGCAGATGAAAAATCGCAGCCAACTTTATTTTTTTTTCAATTGTAGTGGAAGAATCGAACTTCGTTCTGATGTGAACGGCATTTCCGAAAAAAATTTTGCCAAGTCCGTGCATTCGGTTAAATTTGGCAATTTTCAATACAGCAAATATGGCGATTTATGACAAACATGGCCTCGCTTTTAAAGGGTTACAGTGTCGATGGACCATCGAACTTAAAATTCAGAAACATCGTCTCAAAGTAGAGGCTTCAAGCTTTAATTTAAAAAAACAATCATCGTCCTACGATGATTCTTCGCGAAGTTATCACCGAGTCAAATCTGGCCACTTTTTATTACTATTAATTTCGTTGAGCAATGTACAATAAATTCTCTCCAATTGTTCCTCGGCTTTTAAACAACAAATGGACGATTTTGGAAGAGATGATACGATTATTCGAGCCTCGCAATTCGTTCTTATAATTGTTTATTGTTATTCGTTCACAAGCTGAACGGAAAATTCGGCAGAGTTTATCGTATCCGACGATTCGATTTCGCCCGGATCCGACGTCGATTGAAACGGCGCGCGAACCTTGGAGATCGTATTGCGAATCGCGCGAGATCTTCTTCGGTGATTTTTCAAGGAATATTCAAAAGGTTTCCCGGGGATTGAACACAATGGACGAGCATTCCGATCGTTCGCGGTATAATTGCGATTGTTAAAAATATAATAGATTCTGTATGAAAGCATCGTTTCTTCGAGATTCATTCATTTTTTTTCTCTCTTTTTCTTTTCATGCAAAGCAAACGGCGTTACGAAACGGATCGAAGCGATTCACGGCATTATCGATAGTCCGCATTGTTCATCGAATGAAGATGGGTGGGTCGGCCAGCCACAAATCTCGAGTCGAGGCGTAGCATGACCTCTCAGTTATGCTGCGCGGGATTACCTAAGAAGAGCACGTTGTCATAATCCGCCCTCGGATCGATGATCGTCATCGGGCCGGTGGCGGCCGACGGATGACAGAATGACAGTCATAGATAAATTTAAATCAAACGGACAAATAGATAGATTTAAGCGGTCTGTGAATCTCGCGGGACGAAATTCTTGGTGTACGAGGTCCACGAATGTCGACGTTCGCCGATGTTCAAGCAGCTTCAGCATCGCGAAAAATGATCGAACGATGATGGAGTTAGGCTAGTTTTAAAGCGCAAAATGTCTTCTTTTGATGGTCCTAAAATGCTTTATCTTGGCACTCTCAGGTGCAATAGTATAATGCATTTTCGTCGAAGATCGAAACTGGGTCCTGTTCAAATCCTGGAGAAAAAGTCTTCGATGTTCAAGTTGCTGTAATTTTGGGAAAAATGATCGAACGATGATGGAGTTAGACTAGTTTTAAAGCACGAAATGTCTTCTTTCGATGCCCCTAAATTTTTTTATCTTGACACTCTCAGATGTAATAGTATAATGCATTTTCATCGAAGATCGGAACTGGGTCCTGTTTAAATCCTGGAGAAAAAGTCTTCGATGTTCAAGTTGCTGTAATTTTGGGGAAAATGATCGAACGATGATGGGATTAGACTAGTTTTAAAGCACGAAATGTCCTCTTTCGATGCTCCTAAAGTGCTTTATCTTGGCACTCTCAGGTGCAATAGTATAATGCATTTTCGTCGAAGATCGAAACTGGGTCCTGTTTAAATCCTGGATAAAAAGTCTCCAATGTTCAAGCTACTGTAACTTTGGGAAAAATAATCGAACGACTATGTACTTAGGCTAGTTTTATAGAGCGAAGTTTCTACTTTTGATCTGTCTAAGCAGCGTTGTCTTTCAGATCGCGTTTACGATAGCAATCGAGCGAACAAGCGCATCGCGTACAAGCAGAGGTTCAATTAGCAAAATGCTAATTGAAGATTTCTGAGCAAATAAATCGATGACGATTAGAAGATGATCTTCTCGATTACTATAGCGTTGATCTTTCGTCGCCAAAAAGGCGTCAGCGTGAATCCGATCCATCGGCTGGCCGGAGGATTGCAGAATAATCCAGGAGATGACGAGGTTAAGATAATCTGACGTTTTCTCGTGACGTCTGAGATTCTAGAAAAAGGAGGTGGAAATCATCCATTCAGATTTTTATCCAACTATCTCTATTCTTTTGTTTACACGGAGCACGAGCGCGGACGCCGATCAGTAGAGCGTAGTGGTCTATCGTAAAAAAACGTAATGACGAGTTCCAGGACAGTGAGTCTCAAGATTAGGTGCGAAGTGTTTCCGATTTTCATAACTCCTTCGGCTTTGAAATTTTCCAACTACTATATTCGACGATTTTCAATATTTATGAATTGATTTTTTCAATATTTATGATTTTCGAATATTTAAGTTATCCAATTTCTTGATTCAACGATTTCTGGATACTTAAATCATCCAATCTCTCGATTCAATGATTTCTGAATATTTAAATTACCCAATCTCTCGATTCAACGATTTCTGAATATTTAAATTATCCAATTTCTTGATTTCTGAATATTTAAATTATCCAATTTCTTGATTTCTGAATATTTAAATTATCCAATTTCTTGATTTCTGAATATTTAAATTGTCCAATTCCTTGACCCAGCAATTCCTGAACATTTAAATATTCCAATCTCCTGACTTAGCAATTTTTAAATACATAAATTCTTCAATCTCGTAATCGTTGCATTCTTAAATGTTTGAACTTTCCATTTTCTCTCAATTTAATGATAAATCATTAAATCCTTTATATTATCAAAAATCAAGCTATCTTCATATCCGAATGAAGAAGCAACGATTCAAATCTGGCGGCCTTTTTCCGCGGATGGCAGCGCCCTCGCGACAATTCAAATTCAAATCTCAGCGTCGCAAAATGAAAGTCTCGCGAGATTCTTTCAAAGATATTTATTAGCGAACAATTTTGGTAAACTTATGTACAGGTATCGATCGTAAACGAGCAGAGGGGGGCCGCTTGTATCATTTTAGAACGCCTGGGTTTCGGGTTTGGGCGGGTGAGCCCTGATGTACTCGAGGGCCCGTTGAATCAGCGGCGAAACCGTCGGGATGTGCTCGCCCTGCGGTTGGTATCCGTTATGGTCGGCAACGTAGGAAACGGCGATCGGTGTACCGTCGGGCGCTGTGTACTGGTATTGCCCCTGGCTGACGACAACCGGCGGGCTGGTCGGGTCCACGACGACCGGACTTCCGCTTTCGGCACGGTAGATCCCGTTTTCGGTTTCATAGGCGTAGGAGTAGGCGCCGTCCGACGATAAGTCCTGCGACTGCTTCAGAATGGCCGTCGGGTGTTGTACGACGTTCAGAACGTCTCCTGCGGCTACGGCCACCATGGCGAAACAGACGATCTGGGAAAAACATTGTTTATTAATTATCCAGGAAATTTGGCAAAATTATTTCAGGCGATCGCGATCGAATTTTTCTTTTATTTTCAAGAATAAGAGACTCGTTGCAATGTTTCTCGGTTGAAGATCGGTGATATATTTTCTTCGATTAAATAAAATAGATTTTTAAGTAAAATATTTTCTCTAGGCTACTTTTTTAACGCACCGACTGCCAAGCCTGTTCTAGACGCCAACGTGTAATTGTTTTTTTTTAATAATTACATAATAATGAGAAAGAAATATTAAGTGAAAATAATAATAATAAGCAGAAAATAGTAATGAGTAGGAGGTAATAATAAGTAGGAGATAATAAAAACCAGGAAATAAACAGTAGTAAGTAAAAAATAAGTTAAGTAAGTAGGGAATAATAACAAGTAAAAAATAACAATAAGTAAAGAATAGCAGATAAATCCTCTTGTTGTTCGTAATAAGCCCCGAATGCTATGTAATAATTGTGTACGAATACTCACGACGAATTTCATTTTGGATTCTAGGTGGTTCCTGTTGGTCAAGTCCAATGGAGGAAGCTGCTATTTCGAATATGATTCATATGGGACCGTGATGCGCTTTTATACGGGCGCCGGAGAGGAAACTTTCCCCAAATACATCCTAAGTTATTCACGAAAAGATGAAATCAGAGTTCGACGGAAGAAAGGGAAAGAGAAAGAGAGAGAGAGAGAGAGGAGAGGAGAGGAGAGGAGAGCAGGATGGTCCAGCCAAAAATTCGCCACTTTGACATTTCCACGTGGCCTAAATCAGCGGGTTGCATAACCGGGTGCCGGACTATAGATATACGTATATTATAAGGATGCTAACGAGGAACAACCGTTCCCCCGGTTATTTTCATGTTAATAACTCTCTACGTTGATTATGCAATGGCGCAACACCTCGCGAGAACGGCAGAGTTTTTTCAACGGTCAGAAAAAAGTCTCGTCGGTTGTTGTTTTTTTTTTCTTGTATGTGCACGATTACCGATACATCGATACACACCTGAACGCGCGCAGACAGATTGATATGCGCGCCGAAAAATGTACTGCGTTGTAAAAGAGTATGCTAATTGCCTGTAACCTAACCCAGCCTCCGTGGCACAGCGGACGTCGAGTGTTGTGTAAAGATGTACGTTAAGCGGAACGCGGAAGATGCGACCTGTGTGTCGGTAACAATAACAAA